CTTTGACATAGGTAAAATGAATCTATGCCGTTATGGCGACCCATGCAGAAGTACGATCTGACGCGGTCTTGTTTGTCACACGCTATATCGTCGAAAATGAAAACGGAATTTGGAAGTACATCTTGAGGAAATGGAACCACCTGGTTATCTTCGAACAGATGAAGACGGATTTCACTTAAATTCGAAAAAACCTCATTCATTTGTATGTACTTTGGTTGGTACAACGATTTACTAAATATGTAAACGTTCTGAAATTTTATACCGTTAGGATGGTATAATAAATTGATCATTAAATTTGTTTTCCCGCAATTTGATGGTCCACATATTAAACATCGCACGCTATCTGGAAAAAGTACACCATGCTTTGAAATCGTTCCTATCTTAGATTTGCCTTCTACGTCTTCTAATCCCAGACTGACTTGTTGCTTTATTAAACGCATCTTTCAAACTAGATAAAAATCAAACAATGAACCTTTTTATACTTTTCCGATGCTGTATTGTTTTTCTTTTCTTATAAGTCATTTAATTTGGGTTCTTAGTGATTTCCTACCTAGTATAGGAGGGTTCGAAAGTATAGAACATAAACATTGTCAACAAACCGATATTGACAAAATACGATAAATTTTTGCACATGAATATAAACGCTAAAAGATCTCTTACGTGACGTCATTTGAGTTGTAGGACGCTTGCAAGTAACGTAATCGTACATGTCTAAGACATGCAAAACTATATTCGGTGGGGGTAATCGTCATGCAAGCTGTTACAAATATCTCAATCGTCATTCTACTACGTGAGATTGAAGAATACACACGTATTCGTAAGTTGATATATATTCATTGCACTACTCGATGGGATATACCATACTATAGCCGATCATATTAAAACATATTTCAGATGAAGATTACACACATGCAAAAGAAATATGGAAAGACATGCAAAAGAAATATGGAAAGCTTTTAATTGCCAAACTATTGGAGAGTATAGTGACATTTACTTAAAAATTGATGTAGTCTTACTGACGGATATTTTTGAAAATTTTCGAAATTTAACCCTTCAAACTCATAAATTAGATCCAGCATATTATTTCACTCTTCCAGGCCTCAGTTGGGATGCGATGTTAAAATATACGAACGTAGAATTAGCTCTTTTAACCGAGTACGACCAGATTTTAATGATTGAAAAAGGCATAAGGGGTGGTATTTGTCAAGTGTCAAACAGATACAGTGAAGCAAATAACTGCTACATGAAAGAATATGACAGATCTAAAGACTCCACGTATATCACATACTTAGACTTGCGTTCTATCCGTCATTAGTGTCGGTTCCACTGTTGTAATCTTTTACAATAAAACTTCCTTAATAGTTTATATTAAGAACAATTTAAACTTTTTCAGTTTTAAATCAAGTAATCCGATAAATACCGATTTGTGCGCCTATATTAATACGAAGATAGTATACGTAGAGCGGTATATCGGCAATAAAATGAATAGCATGTATAACAATTTAATGATGCAGAAATGTAATTCTGAAACAACTATACTAACCAATTTACTCGCACTAGCATATACATCTGAAGACGAATTCGCCTATGCGTATAAGAAGGGACCAACCAGGTTATACGGCATTAACAAGAGGTGAGATAATACATCTCATTAAGTGTGTTCCTGTAGAGGTCGTTGCTAAAACCTCAAAGGGATGTTATTCTGAAATCGTTGTCGATTACAATAACAGCACAGCCTACCTGAGCCCAAGAAATAGGCTCCTCAAAATGATAGGAACCAGATAGGTGCCAGTACACCAGCTGCTCGACCTGGACCTCCACGAGAACCCGATGATGAGGATTGCTCAGACATCTCAACACATTTTGAATCTGACGAATGATTGCTATTTTGATTACATTCATCTTCATGCCTACTTTCAATAACGATTTTTTGCTTCTTTATTTCCATTACAAACAAAACATTCTTGCATCTAGTTAAAGTTTGGTCCATTTTAATAACAAAAATTTCTTACTTCTGGTTCAAGTTTGTTCATTCTAATAAAAACACTACTTTATGATGTAGCGATAGTGGTATTTTCATTTTTTAATAAATAATCCTAAATTTTAGGAAATAATCACCGAAAATCTTTTAGTCGCAAAAGTGATGTACTTCTGACTTGTACGTGCTGGGCACCCCAGTGATGGTTATCAAACAATTTCTTCTTTTGATATGAGTTAGAGAAAAACACTCTAATAATGATGATTGAGAAAACATTAATTTTTACTTACTGTAGAATTTTCAAAATGAACTGGACTTTGAACAGCGTCTTCTCAAAATCAGCATTTTGTCACACCCTTTTGCATCTGACCCCTCAATTATTGAAAGAGAAAGCAATCACTGGCTCCTCTTCAATTCAGCCATGTGTAGAAGTACCTACTGAAATCGTAGCTTTTAACAATAATTGTTCAACAGTCATTGAACTAATTAAAGCATTAAAGAAAAATTTGGCTGATAATCGAACCATCCCGGAACTAACAGAAGAATTAACATTCATGAGATCATACCCCAAGAGAACACCCTATAGAATTTTTAAACAGATTAGATGAAAAAAGAACTACAGTAATCACACGTTATCGATTAGATCGAATGTCAGGAGAATTCTTGATTCACTTAACATTTCAATTAAATGCAACAATAATCAGAACGCTAGTACACGGTGTACATCCTTCATTAAGTGCACATTTACAATTATTACAAATACAGACTTAGATGATGCACGAACTAAATTAATAAATGATTGAAGCATCATTTTACAACAACTCAAATACACTACAACATTAGATGCCTTTAATAAAATATATTTCAAAAAACCTTTGACACCATTACCACCCTGTAAAATACCACATAACGAAAACCCAATGTTCCAGACGAACCAATTACAACAGACCATTTCAGCATCAACCTTTCAAACCCCAATTGCCTATTCGAAAAAGGGATTCCCAAAATACAGTCTCAATGAGAACTGTATCCTCAGGACAGAATTTTAAGAATTTTCAAAACAATTCGCATAATTAACTCATTTAGATAATTAAGGTAAATTCCGTCACAATGAAATGCGACATATGAAAGAACAAACTGATTCACTAACAAAAGCGGTCAACAATCTAACCGATCATTTTTTAGAGACAAACCCCAAATCACCGAACGACCACCCAGCCAGTTCGAACTAAAAACGATTAATAATCATTACCGGATTTTGTCGATTGGAAAAACGGTAATTGGCTTGTAGATAGAGATCGATCAAAAACTATATAAATATAACATTGAAGAAGGGATTGTTAATATCAATAATAATGTATGTCTATGCGTAATTCATTCCAATGAACTCATGACCTTAAGTCCCGAGCCCATGGAAGTGGAAGAATTAGAACAATCCTCGAACCCAAAAATAACGCGACCAATTGTCCCTATAATCTTGAATAATTAATTAATGAAATAACTTTGTTATTACGTACAAACCATATGAAAAAAATCTTTCCCCCTTGTACCGACTTAAGACTTTACCAACACTCTTCACTCCCACCATTGTTAAATCCTTCCTAGAGCTCCCACCAGGGTATATAATAGGACTGATTGTAATATTTGACGAGTCTGTTTTCCGTAAGCCCTACATCTTGAAGTTATTAATTTTTTAATACAGAAGTTAATTTTTCCTCTGCCCGCGTAAGTCTACTTCTACGTCAGTCTCCACCCGATAATCCTGACGTTGGTTATCACACCAACGCAAATTTTGGTGGCAGAAGTCGGATTGGGGAGACATGCATGAAATTTCGATTTTGGCCGAACGAAATTTCATTCAATCCAGGAGATCGAGTATTTACTCTTCCAGAGCAGAAGAACTAGGATTGGACAATACCGTTAGTAGGGAGACGTCCCGGCGGGTTCGGTCTTTCTGCCTAGCATTCAGCACACAGTACGGATTCTCTTCCTCCACTGTAAGCTAGATGTTATTTCTTCCATCGTCATCGAAGTTATAGAAACGACCTACACTTCATGTAGACAACCAGCATTTCAGATAAGTCGAGAGGGTCAGAGGTGACAGATAATCAGCCAGCCAGATATCCAAGACCCAATTAGCCTAGGGGCCAGAGACGATAAAGCGCCCTTCTTATCCCTTCTATCATTGCAACCAAACACATCAGCCCTTAGACCAATTAAACTAATTAAACAAATATGTATAAAACCCCTTGTATCTGCTACGAAGGGGCTCACTCTTACTGTTGCGTTCTGTCCGTCATAGTGTCGGTTCCACTATTGTAATATTTTACAATAAAACTTCCTTTTTTAAAAATTCTCTTCCGCAGAGCGGTTATTTAACTGGCGCCCGGAACAGGGACCGCGAAGCTAAAAGTCGTGACCATTTGTCCCGCAGTTGCGTCCAACCGACCCAACGAGAATTTTTAGCGAGCATATCGTTGCTTTAAATCGCGGTTCAAGAACAAATTCAAGACCGAGAGATCTCCGGCTGCGATCATTTGTCCCATCCAGGGGCGGTCAACGTGAAAAATCGCCTCAAGACGGAGAAAAGAGCAAGAACCAAGAAGTAAGACAGACAGCCTGGCGAAGAAGAACACCAGCGTAGAAGCGAGTCCTCATCTTTCGCAATTATCTTCCCTTCACCTATAACCACTAAAATGTCTCAGAAAATTAACTATAAAATTGCAAAAGAGGATTATGATCATATCCCTTTCTTTGATGGAAACCCTTCAGAATTAGCATTTTTTTGTGAAATTCTTGAAACAGCCTACAGTGTCCTTTGTGCTGAAAATTTAGTAGAAAGAGATTATAATCATAATATTTTATTTATAAAAACAAAGAGCAAGTTAGTTGGCCCTGCCAGAAATGTACTCCTGTCACATGAAATAAATCATTTNAATAAGAGAGATTTTAGTTATATAAGTTTATGTGCTAGACTCCCTCAGACGGTTTTAAACCATGAGGAATGTCTTTTTTGCTTTGTAATATATAATGCCGATCTGTAAACTTTGTATTAAACAATAAAGACGTATAGTAGTAGTAGTATACAAATGTTTACCCTCTGCCATAAGCAACCATATTATGATTTTTAATCCCGAGTCTTTGGATGATGTAAGAAGCACAATGTATAACAAATGTTCTTTGTTACTCTCAAACGTACAAGCTTTCTCTAATGGTCCTAAACATTTTCACCACAACAACAATCAATCCAAATACATTAACACTACGTTTGACAACAGAATTCCACTCCAATAATTATCATGGTCAACACTTCAAAAAACCAGAAAATTGTAACGATCCTAATCACCCTTTTAATAGGCCAAGACCATTCATTAAACGCGACTCTCAGAACACAGTTTCTATGCGATCGGTGGGAAAACCTCGAATATCAGAGTTGAGGTCCCCGTACGAATTAACACACTGCGTAAAAGCAAAAACAAACTATATTTCGAGAGACAGAATTGGCAGATTAGAACACAGCATCCACACATTGACAAAAAAATTTGACCATTTTTTAGAACTGCAAAGAATCGAAAGGCAGCCCCCCGAATATCAAATAAACTCCATCTCTCAGTCCCTACCACATTTTGTTGATCGGTTCGGATTCAAATGGTTAATCGACACTGGATCGTCAGAAAATTATATTACCCCTCACGCTGTACCCGAAAACATAATTCTAAACAATGACCCTTTTATAATTTCAACTCCCACAGGAAAGAAAAACGGAGAACAATCTTGCAATTTGGATCTTTCAAACATTTTCAAAAAGCCAGATATTGCGAAATTTCATCTCTTCCCATTTTCAGATAAATACCAAGTTTTGTTAAGATATAAAACCATGCAGAAGCTAGGCGTAAAAATAGACCTTAACAATAAAATTCTTTCTTATGACGGTGGCACGATTCCATTGAGATTCTCTTTCGAGCCACCAGAAGTAAATAATAAATATTTTAAAAAGGTAAGAAAAAATATAAATGTCGAAGACAAGAAGAATCCAAGCAGGTAATGGCCATTTGCCCCGATCCTATGGACATCGACAAAATAAGCACCCCTACGAGCTATGCCGACTCATTAGAGGCCAATTGCCCCGAAAGGTCGAAAGCTGTGGCTTCGGAAGAAATAAGGGAAAATACCCGAGCTAATTAGAACGGAGCATATGAACTCCGAAGAAAAATTTAAAATAATAAAATTATTAAAGGAATGCCCTGAATAATAAAAAGAGAAAACGATAGACTAAGTTCTACATACTAAAGCATAAAATGTTAACCACTGATGACAAACCAGTGTATTCTAGAAATTATAGGTACCCCCAAGTGTACCGTAAGGATATTAAAGTAGAAATTGACAAATTGCTTGAAAATAAAATAATCCGACATTCCAATTCGCCTTTCAATAGGCCGATTTGGGTAGTTCTTAAGAACACGGATGCTTCAAGAAAGAAAAAAGTTGGAATGGTAATTGACCACAGAAAACGTAATCATAAAACACGAAAAAAATAACCTCTAATCCAAGCACTAAGACTCTCGTTGATAGCACACATATAACACAAATATTACACATTAATTCATTTAATCAATTTAGAACAGATAAAAACGGAACTAGATTACGTAAAAGACTTACTTAGTTAGTTTAAACTTAGCAAACCGAAATATAAAAAGGCAAAGTATTCGAATAGTACAAAACAGCCACATTACACAAAAAAAAACCAATTTAAAATACATCCTAACCTCGTTAAAAGACCGAGAAAGTTTGCAAATTAAAAATGCTACATACTTCTGTTTTAACATACGATGATCTTGAGTCTCTAAAAGAAACTAAAAAAAAAATTACGTTTATATCACCTGATCTTAGAACGCTTTGGCAACTAACTAAAGTTCATTGCTCTTTTGTTGATAATAATATTTACTATTTTATTAATATTCCCCGACAAAGCCAAACCTTTGATGCCTGTTTCCTGCTATCCTATACCGTTCTTAAAAACTCCCGAGCAACTACAATATACACTTATCCACCCTTAATACTCAAGGCGAAGGATGATTTATTCACTGCTATATGCATAGAAATTAATAACTTTACATATTGTACAAATAAATCAAAAATTAATAATGATTGTATAAAACAAATATTAACAAACGAAAATCTTTCTAATTGCAAGTCTGTTTCTACATCAAGTGAACCATTTATAAAATATGTACCCTTTATCTGAACTTCCCTACGTCCCGTGAAGAACGTTATAAGCGAATACCACGGAATATAATTTATTGTCAAGGCTTAAACCGGTTTGTTTTAACAAATTATCGAAGAAGTCGTTTAAAAAAGTCGCGAGGACGTCAAGGATTTATTTGGGGGAAGTTTCAATGAACATATCTAACGACCAAATGAAGAGGGAGTAGAACCCGCAAACCAAAGTCAGCGACCTGGCAAGCGACCCCAGGGCGGACAGCCAGGCACTCTAATTTATTACCACAGTTTACCATGATTCTATTTTAACGAACAGTATCCGAGGGACGTAGATAAAAACCATTTACATTGCATATAAAGCACTATGGAAAAGTCCACGTGCCTTACTGTCCGGGGCTAAACGCGCCCAGAGCGCCCGGATACCCATCCTCGCGGCCACCCGACCTGGCCCAGCCTCCGATCGACGAGACGCCACCCCCCCTCCACCAGGAAGCTTAAGAGAAGGATTTTGATTCAGACTTTTCTTCTTAGAGTGAATTTATTTCAAATGGGAAGAGATATAACCAAAAACCAGGTCATTCGGTTGCTGATCCGGAACGATAGAGGAACGGTGTCTAAAACGTGCTTGTTCAAATTAGTCTTTTAAAATTGAAAGTGGAATTATTTAGAATTAATTAACAGTTCAGAAGTGGAATAGGCTGACGGAGAATAAAGGCGGAGTTTTTAAATATTCAATAATAATTATTATTAGAGGCGATTTGAAATTTTGGATTGGCGAGGGTTCAGATCGAGGGAAAATCTTGAACTTCGAAGCGAGTAAAAGAGATGGAGATCACGGAAACTTTTCAGACGAAATATAAAAGAATTGCGATTCTAGTCCCAGACAAAATACCAACACCGAACTAATGGTGCAGGAGCAATTATTCGGCAGTCGCTAGATGTCTAACGGAGCAGATCATGCAGATTATTCAACGACAGACGGCATTGGTTTTGGGTAAAATGTGCGATTCGTCGAAATAGTGAGCCCTTGTGAGACCCCCCCCCCAGTGATGACGTAGTGTCGTGATAATTGATACGAAATAGTAAGACTAAAAAAGGGTTTATAGAACGAGTCCCACGGGATCAGTAGTCTTACAGAACCAACCCACCTCAACCCTACAAATATTACTTCCTTAACTAGGAACCCTAAGTCCAAACCGAGTGGTAAAAAGTACGGAGAAAAATCTAAGTTTGTACGAAATCTTTCAAAACGTGTAAAAGCGAAATTTCACCTCTCTCCTTTTTCAGACAAATATGACGTTTTGCTATGGTATAGAACTATGCACGACTTCAACATAAAAATAGATTTAAGTAACAATATTCGTTTTTACCCTGGTAGATCGATGCCACTGAAACTTACATTCGAGCAACCAGAATTGAATAATGAATCAATTTTAAATTTAAATAAAAAAATATATAAATAATAATACAAAAAACGAAGCAGTTTGCTACGTCAAATTCACACAATGACCGTTTACCTAGACTCATGGACATTGACGAAACGCAAAGCACTCGTACGAGCGAAGAAGACATAGTAATGGCCAATGCCCCGAAATGTCAATACGCTCAAACTTGAGTCAAGTAAGGGAAGACATACTCTCATTAATTAGAATGGAGCAGAACACAAGAAAAAATTAATATTATTGAAAGGATATCCCGAAGTTAATAAGAGGAACAAGTATATTAAAACATGAAATATTAACAACTGACGAAAAACACATTTATTCAGAAAAAGTATAGATTCCCACAAGTGTATCAGAAAGAACTATAAATAGAAATAGACAAATTATTAAAAAACAAGATAATTCAACATTCTAATGCCCTATATAATAATCCAATTGGTATAGTTCCTAAGAAGGCTGATGCTTCTGGAAAGAAGACAAGTAGAATGGTAATTGACTATAGAAAACATAATAATATAACAATAGAAGATAAATTCCCGTTACCAAAAATTGAAGATCTTTTTGCCAGAATAGGTCGTGCAACATATTTTTCTGCAATAGATCTCGCCTCACGGTTCCATTAGATTGAAATGGACCCAGAGTCAGTTCCTAAAACACCTTTTTCCACCGAGGCAGGGCATTTTCAATTCCTACGAAGGCCATTTGGTTTAAAAAACGCTCCGCCAATATTTCAGCAAGCTATCAAGTATGAACATCATATTTACAAGAATTCCTAATGTATTAGTTTACATGGATGGCATTATTTTCTCCAACAACATAACATATTAAAATTACGAGAAGCGTAGAAGCATATTGGAAATTTAAACAATACAATTTAAAAATTCAATTAGACAAAACAGAATTTTTCAAAAAGGAACTCCTTCTTTTTTGGACATAGACTTTCTAATGAAGGCATCCGACCCAATCCCGCGAAACTTGAAGCTATTTCCAAATTCCCCATTCATACATCACAAAAACAAAAACTTTTCACTTCAAAACAACCCAATACTACACATGCCCGATTTTGAAAAACCGTTCTACCTGACAACAGACGCTTCTAAGTTTGCTACTGGAGCCGTATTATCACAAAATGTTATAAATGTTCCTTGCCCGGAGTGCAACCCCCCCCCCCCCATGGCGAGTGTCCGCCATGGAATAAAGGAAATAATTTATTTTTTTTTTTTATAGAAAATACTACTTTCCTCTCGTATATTGATTGTTTTGTTTATTTATTTATTTTTCTCAAATTTATTTAGAGTATAGACAAGGGTATATTTTTTTTTTGTTAAAGGAGTTCCCCATTACTCTGGACGCATAAAATGGGGTGGCGCCCAACTCATCAATATTTCTTTGGTTTTTAATATTGTTTTTATTTTTTTTTTTTATATATATTTTGTGTATTGTCCCTCCACTCTTACCCCCCCACTCCCGACGAGCTACCGGGATAAATTTTGCTCTGACCCGAAACAACTTTTGGGTGTAACAATTTGGCAACAATGATCGAGTCCGTCAGGGAACTGAATTCTCACCTTATATACGCATAAGGGCGGGTGTTCCTCAGGGAAGCATACTTGGCCCTTTTCTATTTTCCATATACACTGCAGATATTCCTACACACGTTGACATTTCGACACACACATTCGGACCCCTCAATTAACACTCAACACTTACAAAAACACCTGAATGAATTAACAATTTGGAATATAATTTTCTTCAATTCAATTGTTTACCGCAAGGACCAATCAATCGAAGAGACTCTACACAGGAATTCACATGGAAGCGTGTCACCTAGTACTGTGAGTTGATTAAAAAACTTTTATAAATTTTGCCATTGCCACCAACAAAATAGGTCTTATAAAAGATTTAAGAAAACAGTTTTTACGTAAATTTGAAGTTAAAAAAGGAGTTGAAAAATCTTGTAAAATTAAACATAAGGCACATACAATTAGTACAGAATTTCATAAAATCATGAATCCCCCGTTTCCAGAAACGTTAAAAAGCGAGTATCTCAACATGAGACCCAATTTTAAGGGCGAGCCTGAAGTGTTAGCAAGGTTCATTGGTATTTGTCAAAAATTAGTTGACAAATTTTACATACGGACGAATCCGGAAGATTTTCAAAATGAGTACTTACTAGCAAGTATCAATTCGAAAATTCAGGGTTCGGCGGCGGAAATAGTCTTCAACTCAGGCGCAAGTAGTTGGCCTGAAATAAAAAATGCATTGTTAACCAGTTACTCAGACAAGAGAGACATTTACACCCTAGTCCTTAAACTTTCGGAATTAAAACAAACTAACGAGAGTCCGTTTCAATTTCTCGAAAAGATTCAAAAACTTTTAAATTTACAAATTAGTTATCTCAATAATGTAATGCCGGATAATGCTGACACTCTGGGTGAGTTCTGTAGGAAATTAGGTTTATGGATTTTATTAAAGGGATTAAGAGAGCCCATGAGTTCTCTTTTGCAAGCTAGAAACCCCTCAGATCTTAATGAAGCGCTCAATATGCTTACTAATGATTTTCAGCACCAATCCACTCAAGGATCCAAAAGTTTTGGACAGGTAAGGAACACAAAAGCTTATACACCTAGACCGTTCAGATACCCACACATCCACCATTTTCGCCACCCTTAATAAAAAAACCATTCGAAGTAAAAACAGTTCATGGAATTAGTAAAGGCAGCCATAGCATTAAACTTAATACCGACACTTTTAAAGGAAAATTCTTGACATTAGAGTTATTCTTATTCAACTTCAACAATAAATTCGACATGCTATTCGGGCTAGATAGTATGAAAATATTAAATATTAAATTAGATTTTAATAAGGATGTAATAACAGATATAAGTTCAGCGAAAAGTAGTTCAAAAGCTTTCATTATCTATTTACAGCAATGGCTAAGACAGAGCAAGAAGATAAGACTGAGATTCATATTAAAAAAGCCCCAGGTAAATTTATTTCCAGACATATTCCAGATATATCATTAGAATCAAAACCTCAATATCCGAAAGAATGGTTCCAGGCCAATCCAGGTAAAAAACCTTCAGTCATGATCCCACAAATAGGAGTCTCGTATGAAGACAATGAAATTTGTCGGAGATAGCTGGGGATCTGACATAAACATCAATGCTAGTTTAGAGTTTTTATATGAGACTATACAGATAATCTTTAAAGAGAAATTACAAACAAAATGGACAACTTATGGAGTGACTATTGGGGATGTAGGGGATATCTCTATTAGATGTGACTCGTGTGGGTGCTTCGAGACCCCAGATCATCAGGAAAGCACTAGAACCGGACCAAGTGTTAGGAAGGGTTGCAGAAATATTAGCTATATATCGAGCTTACACAGCTTCATAAGCACCAGGGGACTATAGGAAAATTGAACGAAACACGAGAACCACAGATACCTGACACTGTGTACATTAAGAACAAACTAAAACAAAGTAAGACACTTACAAAATTTAAACCATCAAAAATAAAATCTATAAACACTAAACTAAAAGCAGCCAGAATTGTTCCTACACACAAAAATACTCAGGATAAAATACACATTTCAAATATTAAAAGACCAAGAAACCAGACTTACAATCCTGATGTTCCAAGTACTTCCAACACTTTGGACTTTTGAATGGAATTGATATTAAAATCATAACAACCAATCCTGGGATAATACCAATCCAACTGTGGGAAGCTAGAATGCAAAGGTCAGAACACGCATTTGTACATTATTTTAAGATTGATAAAATTTTACTTAAATTAAATGATATTGATGACTTGTATCTTAGTATAGTAAATAATCTATGTAGCGAAAAAACCTAATTGATAAAGACTCTAATGATGATAACAGGTTCTTCCCACTCCTCTTCTGGACCACAACCAGAGGAATCAACATAGTTGATATTACAAACGGCATTGGCATAATTCCTGTAAATCTTGGGCCAGCCAGGTTGGGAACGTCAAAACATACTTTCATTCATTATATTAAATTTGACCTATTGTTTCAACAATTACACAACTTGGATAAAATTTATAATGAAGTATATATCTGTATTAATAATAAGAATATTAGCTATAAAAATAATATATAATATGTAACTGATAATGGTAGAAAATTAAGAGACATTGTAATTTATTTAGCATTAATAAATAATACTAGAGGAATAATATTAGAAAAGTTAGAAATAGTGTTTGTAAAAAATACTAACAATATTAGAACTAAAAGAGGTTTGATTAATGGATAAGGATCCATCATAAAATCAATTACAGGTACGATGGAGCTCAATTTAATAAAGATATTGAAAATCTACAAGGTAGTCAAATTAATTTTGAAAAACAAATAAATTTGCAATATTCAATAATCAATGAACTCATTGAGGAATTAATAAATCATTAACAGTAGTTGAAGAAAATCCAGCCGAACTAAAATCGAAAATTTTAGCAGTAAATAAAAAATTAAACAGTTATGTTGAATTAGAGAAATTAAGAGATACAACCAATTTATTACATATCACTTATGAAATACTATTAAATATAGTACAGGATATCGAAAACTCATGAACATTTTGTAAACTACATACTTTACACCCTAGTATTATATCTCCTCACGAATTGTTTAAGAAAATTTCTAGAATTTCCACGTATTATGAGGATCAATTACCACTTGAAGTAAGTTTAAAGAACATTTTTGAATTTGAAAATTTAATTAGTGTACAATGTAAAATTGTAAACAATCAAATTATTTATCTTTTACAATTACCCTTAGTAAGAAAACAAATGTATGATTTATATAAACTAATTCCAGTACCAACAACACATAACTCTAATTTTATAACAATTGTTCCAAATGTAAAATATTGACTGAAACCAAGAGCGAATTCAAATAAACTAAATATTGTACCTTTAGACAATAATTGTAAAAAATTTCAATCAATATCTGTATGCTCAACGCAATCGATTAATCATGAAGAAAACAACTGCGAGAAAGAAATCGTATTAACAGGAGACACATCATCCTGCCAATACACTAGCATCAATTTAGACGACAACTATGTAACCTGGATAGCTGAACTAAACCAATATTTAGCCAGCTTTCCCAAAGAAGAAATCGTCACAATAACGAAACATGGGGACACAATATCTAGAAGTCTACACGGAATATTCTTAATAAATACTACATCAAGTAATGTAACATTTCGAAATAAACAGCTTCTTCATTCTTCACCACATACTTGAGGACATCCAAAGTTCCTCAACGAAGTGAAACTTAGTTTGAAAGAGGAACAACAGCCACGATTTACGATCAATGTAAAGCATGTCAAATTGAACCGACTAGAAAGTCAACGTTTGTCTCCAGCTATTGCAAAACCAATCATCACTACAACGATAAGTATATGAACGAGCCTCCTGTATGGACTCATTCTACTACTCTCTGGGTATGGAATCATCCGGTATATCTTCGCACGACAGCAACTTGCAGCAGCTGCCGCCTCCGAAAACCAACATTCTCCGAATGTTTCATCTGGGGGTGGAGGAGTTACGCCTGCACGAAACCACTAATGCAGCAACAAATGATTCTTCCCCTATACAATTCCGAGAATATATTATAAGCATAAAATGTAGATTGTATTGTATGACCCCTTCTTTCACAGATCCACTCGGGACTCCGAACAGTATAGACACTGTAAAATAGAATCCTTGTGTAAAATTGTAGTTTGTATTGAATAAACGTTATTTTAAAAAAATTAGTTTCTTACATCGAAACCATAACTTTTATATATTTAAAAAACGCACTGTGATCACATGTACCTGAAAAACAAAGAAAGGAAGATTTTACTAGTTTTTAGACTTTTATGAGGTAATCTTTCTCGACCACGTTTTAATTCTTATTGTAATTTTAGTTGTAATTTTTAATTACTAATTTATTCAATTTAAATAATGTTTAGATGCTGAGCTCCAAAAAACAATGTACTTCTGTGCCCAAAACACCATGTCGTTTATTTCCCCATTAAGGTTTAAGTAAGATATTTCAATTTTTGTGCAATTTTTGTTTTGTTTCATGTTTTAATTGTTTTTTTTATATGATAATAAAACAGGCCCTGAAGATGACAGTATAAAACTGTCGAAAGCTCGGCGAAAACCGAAAGGAAGTTTTCTCTGTGTTTGACCTCTTCCGTAGATCCTCCGAAAAGACTTCATGTTTTTTGTGTTAAGAATTTTTTTTTGAGAGGATACTCCAATTATTGTAAATTTAATTTCGTTTGCGAGGCCTTCGCGTGATAGCCCTATTGTAAATCAAATCGTAATTAATAGGATTTTGTTTCGTCTAAATTCAGATTGTTTCATTTTTTTTTATTACTTATTTATTTATGTTTTGTTTCAATTTTCTTTTGTTTTTTCGACCCCTGGCTAATGCCAGTCTACTGACTTTAATTATTGAGTAAGGTGAACAGTCAGATACTAACAAGGCAGCTCGTAGCGCAGGGGAATCGTATTCGTTTTAAGACTTTTTTCCTTTTTTTTTCCCCCTTTTCTTTTTAGGGATTCACTATTTCCCCTGGATCAAATAGTGTGGCGCCCGACTGTAGTATTGGTTCCCCGAGAATCCCCCATTCTCCACTGCGTCAGTCAGTAAGTTACTACCAAAGATAAAACTAGTTTACTTAAATTAGACAAAAATGAAGCATTGTTAAATTTAAAAAATTGTGCCAATGTTTAAAGAATCGAAAGTTATGTGTCGTGTTTGGAGTGGCGAAAGCTAATATATCTTTTGAAGACATACACAGGTTAAATGTAAAAATGCAACCATTGGAACTATTAAATGTTCCCCTCGACATTTTCAACAATTTATGTTTACGTTATAAAATGTATGGCATTCTGTCAAAACTCTTTATGTTTGTTTATTTTCGCCGTCAGCATAAAGAAGACAAATTACTTGCACAAAAAGCAGGACGAACTCAAAACGAAGACCCTCATAAGGAAGGGGGACTCAGTCGACTCCTGCGTCTGTTTTTACAGGACTGCCTTTTTTCTCGCAGGAGTTTCAAACTTAGGGGACGGAGGAGTTATGAAGTAACTAGTTGCCCCTCAGAACGACACGTCAGCTGGTCGAGACCCCGTCTATTATCTTAATCAGCATTTTTTTTAAAATAGTATATAATCCCTAATCCCCAATCCGTGCGATAACCTTATGTCCGACACCCTCCGTTTAAACTTAATCAGTTTTGACAATAAAGATTTTAAAAAATAAGACTTCTTCGAACGATTACCTAACCATATTCCAATTACCTATAAATATTTTAAGTTAACAATTTTTCCCTTGTTCCGTCTTCCCGAGATAATGACTGTGGTGACCCAGAGGAACCACCACAGACGGCCCTATCCAGGGCCTCATCACCGCCCCTATCTCACTTATCCCCCCCCCATGGGTTCTGCCCATGGAGGGCGTCCGCATCCACCGGGAGTGGGGGAAGGAAGAGATATCCGGAAAAGGCGGAGAGAGGGGGAATTCGTTTCCCTAGCCGGAAGGTGACTGGACGCTCGGACAGAGAAAAAGAAAAAAGCACGGATTACCAAGGAAGAGAACAGAGAAGAAAAAGGAGGAAGTTACCCGGACGGGACTAACAGAGGACACTGGACCACCTCGGGCAAGGTAGGAAGGCTTCCTTTTCTTTGCTCGCCCCCCCTATCTCCGGAGAGTTATTCATTTGGTTTGACCATATATTCACGAATGTAAAAGGGTAACCTTGTGAAAATAAAAATCTTGTTTCCCTACTGGAGGAACTTTTTCAGAACCCCGAACCCGACCTTGCTCCCCATCTCCTGACTCTAAAATTCGCTACAGGGGAGAATTTTATGGGAGGGGTTATAAATCATAAGAACATCTACACAGTATTAGTCTCAGTGCGACGTTCTGGATCCTGCTGATTCGAAGTCTATCTGCGAAGCATTAAAATGACTGAAAACAATCAAGTTACTACGACTAAACCTCGTCTTCTTGACCAATATATGCAATTATGCGTTTTCTTTGAAAAAGGGCCCGAAATATTAAAAGAAGTCTTTTTTACTATAAAAAATTATGCTCTCCTTGATGTTACTTTCAGTGTTCCTAAGGTTTTCGAAAATAAACGAAATTTAAATGTTCTTCACATTCTTCATGATGGAGGGATGATCTCTCTGGCGGACAATGGAATAACCATGTGTATTTCAAAAGAAAAATTGAAAGTGTATCGTTTAGGAAATTACAAAGGGCAAACGGACTTATTGTCAGCTATTAGGGTTGATGGAAAATATGGTGCTGAAAATGTGCGCGTATATATATCAAAGACTTCTTACCCATATAATACCTCTAATCAAGATGTCCGGAAAGACGACATGGTGCCTGGAGGTGGCCGTGTAAGGAGGATAGTTGCACCAGGACTGAGAGAAGCTCTGGTGACATGTGGACACGGCAGGGTCAGAAGAAGATGTTCCCGGCGTCACGGAAGAAGAATACTTGTAGTCGGGCGGGCTCCAAAACAGACTGGACTTTCTGTCCCTTCCGTCTGGGAGATTGTAATAAGTCGGTTGAGCATACTGGTCGAATGCCGGACTCACGTGGTGTCCGTCGACGGGAGAGTAGTTCCAGGGCTGAGATCCGTGATGAGAATGCCTGATGACACCCGGCGCCGGTTCCATGCATTCGTAGCCGAGACGTTTGGCCGGGATGTGCAGGGGTCCCGACTGACTCGTCACCGGGGAAGTGGAGCTGGTGGACGTCGTTGTCACGGGCGTCGAGCTAGGCGAAGTTTTGATCGGCGTGAGCGTCGGAGGAGCCTGGTCCTCGTAAGCGTTGCCGTTCATCATCGCCCACCAGGAGGCCGGCACCCCGGGAGTCCCAGGGTCTCTGAGACAGGCTGTTGCCCCACCGCCGCCATTGTCGTACAAGGGGCCGCCCTCGGCCAGTTCGCCCAGTATGAGAATTGTTGACGAGTTTTTTTACGTCGTGGGTGGAAGGAGCGTTGTCCGCAACGCGACGGCAAAGTACCGAGAACAAAAAGT